CTGATTCCTGGAAATGTTGAACTTATTCTTGGACTCCACGTCAGCATTCCCCATTTTTGCTTTTGGGCTTGACTTCAGTGGATTCCTGAATGGTCCAGTAATGGTTCTAAATTCATTACTAAGCTTTAATTCTTGCTTAGTTGCAATTCTTTTTCCTGTTTCACTAATTTCTTGACTGACGGGTCATGAGATTCAGAAAAATACATAAATTTCCCAAGAAATGCTGTGAAAGAACTCCTTCACAGAAACACTGGGGGGGTGGGGTTGGGGGCGCGCGGCTCATCTTAACCTAATTAGAAATTTAAAACAATTAGTATGATGGCCACATTCTTGAATTAATTCAGTTTTCTTACTTAAAGGCCTTCCCTTTTGACTGACTGGGGATGAGGTCTGTCTTTCCCAACTCTTCAAGTACCTGAATGTCTGGACTTTTCTTACTCTCTTTTATTTCCACTGGAAATCTTCCCATTTCTCATCTGGGTTCACTTCTTTCTTAAAATATCCTGTCAAATGCAACTAATAAAATTGTTATCCAAACTCTTCTAATAGAGATAAAACTTCACTATATTATTTTTCTTCCAAGTATTGTAAGCAAGTTTACCAAATCTTTCACCACAGCAAATGTGGATTATCTCACATAGCTTTACCACCTGTCACCTAGGCCAATGCAATATAGTTTAATTTAGTTCAGTTTTGTTTCTTTTTATGGCAGCATTCCACTTTCTGGACTAATCCTGTATCAAATGAGATATTCCCTAACTGTATTAAGTTAAAACAAAAATGGTTATTTCTCCCTCATGCTACATGTCCATCTAAATAAACAGGGAGGCTCTGTTTACAGTCCCTCAGGAACCCAGCCTGATGCAGCAATCACATCACCATGTCAGAGAGAAATGAAAGTTCTAAAGAGTCTCATATCAACACGTAAATGATCCAAACTGAAGTAACTTTCACTTGTAACTTGCTGGCTAGGTAACAGTCATATTACTGCACATTGGAAATATTTAGTGAATAGCGCAAATGAAAGTCACATTAGGTGAAAAACGCTAAATTTGTTTGAAGAGTCAAAATAAAATCTAGATAATTAAACTTTTAACTCTAGGAGTTCATGCTGGAACAAGAAGCTTTCCATAAGCATCATGGGAAGACAATTAAAGTTAGGTACTGGTATTTGGCTACTTAAAAACTGAATACTCTTCAATCTAATACTGCACTTAGAATTCTAGTACAAATAATAATATAGACCAACATTTATGAACTGAGAGCTTCCCTACAGTATTTATAATAGTGAAAATAAAAGAAGTGTAAAATTATGGCATACTTATATAAAAATATAGAGCAGGTGCTAGCAAACTTTTTCCTAAAGTGACAGATTTAAGCTTTAATTTTGTGAGCCAAAAGGTCTCTGTCATGTAAAATTGTGCTATTGTAGTGCAAAAGCTACAACGGACAACATATAAACAAGTGATATGGATATTTTTAAATACAATTTTGTTTATAAAAACAGTTGGCCAACCATGGGTCATAGTCTGCTAGCCCCTAATACAGAACAATCAAAGTCATGTTTTTAAGGCAGTGGATGAAGACCTGAAATATTTAAAAAATGTAAAACTCTATTTTAAATTCTCCAAAATTCTCCACAAATGGCAAGTTTTACTTCAATATTTAAAGGGTTTCAATCATTTTTAAAAAGAGTTTGGATTGGGTGAGTGATGCAGTCAATTTTCTGTTCTGTTTTTTGAAAAGCTGAATGACCCCAGATGTACCTGAGGTATTTTCTAGACACCAAAATCCAAGGTAACTTCTATGATCAGCAGTTGTTCAGGCCATTAACATCTACAGCTACGGTTTCATTTACAGCTTAGCTCAATAATCATGATGACACACTGTGTCATCAAATAAGACTAAATTATGCCTAGTATATTCTTTTAAATAATGAAAGCAGTTTTGTAATACTTTTCACAAGCAATTAAAAGTTACCTTTACCTAACTGTAAAAGTGATTTCTCACGCTATCTCATTCCTCTATGATGTTACACTTGTTGCTAAAGATGTGTTTAATTCCTTACAAGGTGATTCCAGTGAAGTATTGTTTAATGTATAGCTTTTGAGGTGAAAATTAAACATTGCCATCACTTTTAAAAATCTAATACTAGTTTTTGTCTACATGGTTCTGGAGATGTGTCTCATTTGAAAAAATAGTTTAAAAATAATTTTCTCTCTTTAAATACTTATAAATAGGAAAGTTAAATGTTTCATTTCTTAACTGAAAAAGCAAGTCTATTGTTAAGGTAATCTAGTAAAAATGAAATATATGCAATCCTTTAGGGTCTACTTACATACAGAGGTCCTATTTCATTGAAGTCAGTACAAGTGAGTGGTTGGGGAGTAATAATTTTGATGGAACAAAAATGATGTCAATGATGAAGTAAAAAAATGACATTACAGAAGCCCATAAAGATTTAATGATGATAAAACTTTTATAATTATTTTATAAAGTATATCTTTAGAGGCGCCTTGGTGGCTAAGTTGGTTAAGTGTCCAACTTTGGCTCAGCTCATGATCTCATGTTTCATGAGTTTGAGTCCTGCATCAGGCTCAGTACTGACAGCTCAGAGCTTGGAACCTGCTTCGGAATCTGTGTCTCCCTCTCTCTCTGTTCTTCCCATACTCGTACTGTCTCCCTCTGTCTCTCAAAAAATGAATAAATGTTAAAAAAATTTTAAAAAATAAAGAATATCTTTAAATTACCTATCTTTCCTATTAATAATATATTCACTCTCTCTTCTTCCTGAGGTAAAATGCCTCAATTCCTATTAATAGAAGGGATCACTAGGTCCTTTTCTTTAGGTTAAGAAGTTCCCTATCCCAAATGCATATAATCACTGTAAGAATAATAAATAAAACTATAATTACTACCATCAATGGGAGAGTTCTTTGCAAAAAGGTAATTTATTTTAAAAACGGACATTCAATATAAATGCTGGGAACAATTGATGTGGTAGGAAGTTCTAATTTCAGAATCAGATCAAATTTCATTCAAATCTTAGCTTTGTACCCTTAGGAAAATAATTGCCTAGATATTTGGTTTCCTCATCTTTTTACTTACAGCTAAAATAATGGGACTTGTATATTATCCGTTCCTTTTTAAAATGTTAAGAATAGTTTTTTTTTTTAATGTTTTATTTATTTCTAGGAGAGAGAGAGAGAGACAGCGTGAGCAGGAGAGGGTCAGAGAGAGAGGGAGACACAGACTGAAACAGGCTCCAGGCTCTGAGCTAGCAGTCAGCACAGAGCCCGACGCGGGGCTCGAACCCACGAACCACGAGATCATGACCTAAGCGAAAGTCGGACGCTTAACGACTAAGCCACCCAGGCACCCCTGTTAAGAATAGTTCTTAAAAAATTCATGGATGAAAAAAATTCCAATTTCCTCCCTATTGAAGAGATGCAAAGGGAAAGAAAGAATACAAACAGATATGGCATTCAGATTTTCCATGTAAATTAAAAGTATACGCACAAGATGAATATAATGCTTCTTAGTGTCACTGAACTGCACTGAAAGTCAATCATAAGTTTATTGTTAGGGAACAGGGAACTACCATACACCAAGGCACCTTGGTAGGTAGTTCTTAGGCAAACAGTCACTAGAGTGCATCACTGGCTTTCACTGATATTAAGTCAGTCTAAGCACTCTAAAGCAGGCAAAGGCAAACCACAATCCAAGGGCCAAACATTCTTGTTTTGTAAACAAAGTTTTATTGGAACACAAACAGGCTATTATATACATTACATCTATAGCTGCTTCAAGCTACAAGGAAAAGTTGAGAATAACTGTGACCACATGGCCCACAATTATTTACTATCTGGCCCTACACAGAAGTTGTTTGCGGTCCACTGTTCTAAATCACTGGTACTGAAAGGTTTGGTCTGTGCACCTGAACTGTTTGTTCCTCTCAATGGAAATGAGAAAAGGAGATGGTAAGAGAACATAAACCAGTTATGTTACCAAATACAATGCTTATTTCAACTACACTTTTGTTTTCATTGTCAGACTTTCTCTTAGAGTTTGGTACAGTTTCGTCTTCTAACGGACAGGCATAAACAGTTCACTGATTAGCTACTATGAAGGTATCTACTCCACCATTACTCTAAAGGTATAAAGCCACAGGAACTACCTAAAGCTCAAAGGGATTAAAAAGTGTCATTTAGGGACTTATTTTGGCACAGTGATCTAGGGTTTTGTACATTAGGTGATCTGCCAGGCAACTAACCAAATAAGAATTAGAAAATAGTCTTTACATAAACTTTCTTCTACTCCTTGCACTTCTAAGGTTTAAATTAGTCCAAAAATCTTGTCTGCTACAGTTTTATGTTTCAACAAGGTGAAGGGTAACAGCTAAAAAGTCCCTCTCTCCCTATCTTTGCTTGGTGGCAAGAAAGATGAAAATATTTGACCCCCTCAAAAAAATTTTTCAAGAAAGTAAACCAATAATATATTTTGCCTGTTTAGGCTCTTTGTTGGGCAGATAGAAAACTAGAATAGTAAATTATATTGCTCTTGAAATAAAAGAATTTTTAAAGCAGATATATTTTCTATAAATATTAACAGTATTTTCCCCTGTACTTTAAGGCCTAATTTAAAATAAATCATGCATCAAGTAAAGAATGCAGAATGAAATCCTACCACTAAATTCAACATGAAATTTCCTTGAACAAGTATATAATTTCTAAAGGCGCCAAAGGTAATCCAACTCAAGCAGGTTTCTGAAAAATAAAATTATTCAGGGACAGATTTTTATTGCAAATATTTACTCAAAAACTACTATATACAGCAGAATTTTAAGAGCTGTTTAAAACATTTAACATTCAATAAAACAAAATTTAAGAACTCAAAGCACATTTTAAGAAGTAAAAATGTAGCATTTTAAATAAAATTTTTAAGTACTTTAAAGCAAACTACTGTTATTCATATTATTTATTTCTATACCTATTATTATCTATGATAAAAAACAATTGAAAAAACAATTTAGCAGCCATTTTATGGATAAAATAGGATATGGATAAATTAGGCTAACTGTCCCAAACCAAATTTTTACATCACTGCTTTAGGTCCCATTTGAAGTTTCTATTTTACAATTAAAGAAAAAGTCACTTAAACATGGCATGAACCAGAACATGTTTTCAGTTTACTGCTTTACAATATCTACACTATACCATACTTTGGTTTGGTTTCCAGACCATTTTTATGGGTCTATTTCTAAAGATCATTAAAACAATTTTAAAAGCATAATAGCTACAGGAGTTTCAATAATGGGTTTCTATTTTATACAACATCAAGGGATTTTTGCACAGCTTACATACTGACAAAAAGCACAAATATAAATTTACATATTAATAATTTCACTTTCACTGAAAGTTTAATTAAGATAAGCTTACAGCCTTGCAGGCTAACACTTGTATGGAGGTACACAGATTCAAATATTCTGTTTACATGCTTGTGACAGTCTGGAATGTTATATTAAATCCAAAATTAACTTTATATTCGTCCAAATTCTCATTAGATCAATTAATTTAGCACTCTAAGCATGCCCCATTTACCAGCATTATACTCGACATGAAGCCTTCATTAACACTGCCTATCAGCCATTACTTTAAATCAATTATTCCCAAAAGGTACTTGGTTTCCAAATTTCTTCCTTTAAGTTAACTGAAAAGGATCTATAGGTAATAAGAACTTTTAGCTTAAGACTGATGGAAGTTTCAAAAGCTTTATTATTATAATTAATATTCTAAAAATCAATTCATACTGGCCACCAAGTTCTCTTCACAAACTGTTAAATGAGAGTTTTCCATTGTGAACTAGCTTTCATTAAAATCCATAATAGTTTTAAAGGCTTTTTGGAAATCCATACAAATCATGCTATTATGGGTGAATCGATATCTTTAATAACATGGATTGAACATACAGGTCAAGTGTATATGAATGACTTCCCTCACATTTTCCTATTTCTGACCTCTGTAGAACAGCACCACTGAGCTCACCTGATAGCACTGTTCCAAATATTTTTACCGTTGGTACACTAAACTTAGAATGACTAATAAATTTCAACTTCTTTCTTTTTCATCTGCCAGGTCTACTGTTGTCTCTGTTGTGCTAGGGCTATTTTCTCCAGGAACACTGTCAGTTTGATCAGACACTACTTCATCAGTCATGGCTGAAGGATCACCATTACCTTTCTGAAGAATCTCTGTGGCTTCATACTCAAGTACCTCTGATGGAGTCAAAGGTTCTAAGTGAATACTGCCTTGCTCACTAACATCAGAACTAACAGATTCAGGTTCATCTCTTTTTCTCAAAAACTGATCAATGCTAACATCACCAGATGTTAACCGCAAATTCTTAATATTCTTTGAAGAAAACCTAGCTTGACTGGAGTTGGAATCTTCATTCTGATCACATGACATTATGTTTCCTGAACTTTGGCACGTCTTCAACTCCATTTTCTGATAAATGTGCTGTATTTGCTTTTCCTTTTCTACTTTATCTGTGTCAATATTTGAATCATGACTGAAGACATTCTTTAACCCAGTTTTCTGGTCTTCAAGACAGGTATCATTTTCCTTATTTGACACTGTTATGCTTTCTTCATTTTCTGTTGCTAATGAGCCTTGAAATGAATTTGTATCACATCCACTTTTTTCTTCCTCTGAAGAAGCTTTATCTTGTTTACTGAAAAAATAAAGCCATTTATTATCTATTCCTTTATAACACATTGTATTTGAACACTATCAAAATAAAGACATGCTCTTAAAAAAAAAAAATAGCCCAAGTCTCTAGTCCTTGCCATGTTACACTTTAGGAGATGGCCATTTTCTTAGGCTGAGAAGAAATTCTCTTTTCTTAGAAGAGACTGAGAAACTCCAGAGCCACATCTTAAAAGGAGACCTGGGGAATCTATCAAAACTGGTTTTAGTCCTAATAATCATTACTTTCAACTGTTCATACTCTTGCCTGTCTAGGTTAAAATTTAAGCATTCTTATTAATTTGAAACTTTAAACAAGAAGTGAACATATCTGGAAAAAACTATTTTTTTAATGTTTATTTATTTTTGAGAAAGAGAAAGAGTGTGAGCAGGGGAGGGGCAGAGAAAGAGGGAGACACAGAATCTGAAGTAGCTCTAGGCTCTGAGCTATCAGCATAGACCCCTACTCGGCTTTGAGCCCACAAGCCGCGAGGATCATGACCCGAGCAGAAGTTGAGCAGAACTGAGCCACCTAGGAGCACCAGAAAAAACTATTTTTTAAGTGACTCCTATATCCTCTTAATTAGAATGTCTTTCCTTATGCAAAATCAAATAAACATTTATAAATATTTCCCTAATTTTTTAATAGCTTAATTAAAAAAAGCAAACACATGCCTGAAAAATATATGTAAATATATACAACAAGCATATATACATAAATGTTTGTTTATATATAAAAATGTTTATGTGTGTATGAGTGTAAGTGTGTTCACACTTATCCTGGCATGTTAACACCAACTATGTAGTGAACCATAATATATTAGATGATTTCAGGAGTAGATTTCAGTGATTCATCCCAACAAATGTATAACACCCAGTGCTCATCCCAACAAGTGTCCTTTATTATTTAATAGAGCAAATCAACTATATTCTACTACTTATCTTCCTAAGTTTAATAGTTAAAAATGTAAAATATATTTGTGCAAAGATGCTCATAAAAACAATGTTTAAATAGTGAATACAGAAACAACCTAATATCTAACAAGAGAGCAATGATTTAAATAATTATACTGGTAAATAGAAAATATGAATCTTCTTTAAACACTGTTGGTTTCCAAACCAAATCCCATTAGGACTTTTAATTAAACACTCATTATTCAAACCATAAATTAATTTGGAAAATGGGCTATCATACAGTAGTTATTAGCTATTTGTTATCACAGTAAGTTTATATTTTTATTCACTTAGACCCTGTACATTTCTTATTTTTTGTTTTTGTCAATTAGCTATTTTATCCATTATATTTTGTAACCATGTTATTGGTATATCGAAAAAATCAGATTTTTGTAACAAAGTATCTTAATATATACTCTCATTAATTTCATTCTTAGCTCATTTTCTTGGATCTTATAGGTCAAATATACCATCTGCAAACAATTAGCTTATTTTCCTCATTTAAATGTATATAATCAGTATTTTTGTTAAGATCTTATTGGACTAACTACAATTTACAGAAAACATTAAATTATAGAGAGGTGAATGGTCTGCTTTTTATAACTCCTTCGTTGAATTTTTGTTAACTATTCTCCCTGTCCCTAAATTCTAGGTTAAGAAAGGCTACATAATTTTTCTAGTAAAGTCTAAGAAACACCTTCATAAGGTCTTATTCCATAATTTTCTTTTCAGGGGCAAGAGAGTAATCACTCTTATTCAGTTAACCAGCACCCTACAACTTATGCTATATAGCTGTATATAAAATATACAGCATAAAGATAGAAATGGGGAAATTGCTTAATTTAAAAAGATAAAATAAAATTATCTTTATCTGGAATTAAGTTCTAATTTGAATGTTAGATTCTCTTTTGTTAAGAAAGCTTCTAAAATGACTTGTGCTCTTTAGTGTTGACCAGAGCATTACATTTTTAAAAGCCAATTCCTGAAGTCTGAAACTTTTATGTTAAGTTCCCACCACAGAAGTACCTTTATAGCTTTTGAAAATACTCGAGGAAAAAAAGATTTTAAGATGATTTGTTTGCAAAAATTGTCTCCATCTGTCTTGTAACTTGCAGTGTCTTGTAATTGTTTTCATTTGATAGGGGCAATTAATATCTGTTAACATTTTATTTACTAATAAGTACTTTTTAAAAATTTAACAACTATAAGTTGTTTAAAAATGTGAAAACTAAAAAAATGATTTTAAAACTAAGGATCAACAGTATATTTTTGTTGAATTGAAATTTCAAATTTTTATTTTAATTAAAACTAAAATAATGGGGCACTTGGGTGGCTGAGTCAGTTAAAAGTCCAGCTCCTGGTTTCAGCTTAGGTCACAATCTCATGGTTTTGTGGGTTTGAGCACTGCACTGGGCTCTGTACTGGCAGCACAGACCCTGTCTGAGATTCTCTCTCTCCCTCCCTTTCTGCCCCTCCCCCATTTGTGAGCTCTCCCTCTCTCTCAAAATACATGAACTTAAAAAAAAAGTAAACAAAATAACTAAAGTAAAATATCAATTAACTAAAATAATGCAGCTCAGCTCAAGTATCAAGGTTTTTATGTACTTGAATTCCAAGAGAGTCAGTTTTTCCTTATGTTTACCTTTCAGAATTTGATGTTTCTCTTTCTCCTTCAGCCATATTAGGTCTTGTAATTTCCTGAAATGATTAAGAATGTTTCTTTTATATTCATAGTTAGGCTTAAGCTACTTTAATGACACTAAACTTTCTGGATTAAAAGAACTTAAGTGTTCAACTTAATATACCAAAGAAATAGAAAAACAATTTCTTAATCTAAAGGATGTACTAGAATAATTCTCCAAATTAAAAGCATAACTTAAAAAAATTATTAAAAAGTACCTATCAGAATTTCAGTGTACCAAAAGTTTCTGAACCAAGGTCATGAAGCAATTAACCAGTTATAACAATATCTGTTTTTCTTAGACTGTTTAAAATGTGGGCTGTAATTATAATCACTTGAATAAAAAACTAGTAAAACACAAATTGAATTTGAATAACAAGTTGCATCCACAGTATTTTATACAAACATATTAAATACAAACATTTATATAAAACATTTATGAAATTATAATTTCATATTTGGAGTCATGTTAACTCTTCCATTGTCAAACCAAGTAATAGGAAATGATAGATTAAATATTTGGTTACTTTAAATGTTTTACAGGGAGAAAAGAATACAATAAAATGTCAGTAACCCAGAGTCCAGACTAACAGTTCATAAAATTACTGATTACTGAGCACATGATGCATGAGGAATGTTAAGAGCTCTGCATTCATTATCTCATTTAATCTTCATATTAGGAATTCTCAACTCCAGTTTTATAATAAGAAATACAGCTACATAGGTTAAGTAGAGAACCCTAGATAATAACTACAATAAATGGTGAAAATTCAAATCTAGGTCTAGTTCTTAAGTACTATAGTGATTGACTACTGAAATTGATAATGGTGTATTAATCACACACATTTATTTTTTTTTTACTCTCCTAACACCCTGCTAAAATGAGGCAAAGATATAAAACATTTTCATTCATAAAGACCAAGAAAACACCAAAGCATACTGATTGTCTATGGGATTTCAACAAATTTTTAGATGGAAAGTGACTTTGCAGCACAGAGGAAGTTACAACTAAATATCTGAGTAAGGGAGTGCATGGAGAAGAAAATCAATTTGCCCAGAAACTTAAGCAATCTGGTATTTGGAGTAATTCAGTTTAATATCCAGTTACATAAAAAAATTAAAATGAAGCACAAGGACTGCTGAGAAATCTAAATGCTTTCCTCAACTCAGACAATAGATACCTACCCTTTCCTCTACAAGACAGGCTAAAGTTTAACTTTATGAACTAAAGACAATCTAGACTTGTGAACACTAGGAATGGCAAAGGGCAACGATGAGGTACTGGGAGAAAAGAGAAACATGTGGTCAAAGTCCATAAACTGAATAAAGGTCCCCACAGTTCTTCTCCTAGAATGGCTCCCAGTATGCTAGCAGCTGGAGAGATCACTCTTCACTCTACTACCACCATCTGAAATCTAGAAGATTCTTCTTCAGAGAAAATTATCAGACTCAAGACAGACAAGGTTTCCTATAATGACGTGGAAAGCATCTTCCTCACCAAAGAATTAGCTCATCATCTGATTTTCCTGTGGGAAGTCTCAACAATTCCCATACAGACTGTATAGATTGTATAGAGCACTAATCCAGAAGAACGAACTAATTTCATATTATAATACATGTCAACAGTTCTCCAAGTGTTTTCCACAGACACCTTGGGGCCGCAAGACACTTTCAGGAGGCAGGTGAAGTTAAAACTCATGGTACAAAATCAATAGTGAGTAAACATGCTGGCATCTTAACAAGAATTAAGGCAGTGGCATCAAACCAAAACTACACTAGCAGTAACTGAATTCTTCACTGGCAAACACCAGCAGTAACACTCACTTGATTAAATATCAATCTCGGAGTTCATGTCATTTGAATATTCTGTGTGATAAAATAGAAGTATGGATAAAGCACTGCTATTGTATACTGAAAACACTTTGGTCTGAGACTGAGTTGCAAGTTGCAATAGTAAACTTAGGTATACATTTTTCATAGAATATCATTTTTATTTTAAAGGATGACTGCCAAACTATAAATATTTAGACATGGTTATTTAGGACATACTTTCTTGAAAACTAACAAAGTAGGGGCACCTGGGTGGCTCAGTCAGTTAAGCGTCTGACTTCAGCTCAGGTCGTGATCTCACAGTTTGTGGGTTCGAGCCCTGCGTCGGGCTCTGTACTGACAGCTAGCTCAGAGCCTGGAGCCTGTTTCTGATTCTGTGTCTCCCTCTCTCTCTGACCCTCCCCTGCTCATACTGTCTCTCAGAAATAAATAAAACACTAAACAAAAAAATTTTAATAAAGAAAACTGACAAAGTAGGCCTGTCATAGCAAAGAAAACAACTGACAGTGTTTATTGACATAATAAAATTAAAACAAAAATAAAATTTTAGGAAAACTTGCAGTCACCATTGATTAGATTAATGCTAATAATGAATGTGCATACTTGCAATTATACATACAACATGTCAACATTTGCAAGATCTATGTAATGCAGTGAACCAACTATCTTCCCAAATGACTAATCTATGATGCTATAAAATCACTTATGAATGAAAGATTCAATCAAAGTGTAAGGCAGACCACTAGATTTTAATGTAGCAAACATATAAGTTCAGTGATATGGAATCAAATTCTGCACTGGAAAAAACCTTTATGAAAACTTCCACTTGCCTACTTTTAAAGAGTATCAAAAAATAATCACAATTATTTGAAAAGACTATTGAAGTACTGGCTAAGGCTGGATATTCCTCATATATTTCAACCACAATAACATATCACAAAAGACTGAATGCAGAAACATGAAAATCTAGTTTTCTTATACTTAACTAGACATTAAAAAGTAATGCAAAAGAATAAAATACCAGGCTTCTAATTAAATATCTTGTATTTCAGAAAATAATTTTCATAAAAGTGTTATTTATGTGAACAGAGAGTAGTTTATTAGTTTTATTTTTAAGTTATAATATATTTTAGAACTCCTAGTTTTAATTTCTAATACGGCAAACCCAATACTCTTTGAGAGTACTAGGAATATATGTAAATAGTACCCCCTGGAGTTCTTCAGTGCACAACCTGTATGACTACATGAGGCAGCCCTGTCCCCATTCAAAAATGAGTTTTCACTGCACTTTATAATGCTTCACTCTTTAGTGTGTATGGGCAGCCAAGAATCACCACACAACTGAACACATTCTTTAACATCAGAAATACTGAAACAAATTGGAAAGGAATAAAGAAAGGAGCTAGGAGATATGAGAGACATTGCTGGGAAAGAAAGACAAAATATATAATATACATTTAGTATCCTGCAAGAAGTATAAGATTTTACATCCATTAAGTAGGAACAAAAATTATGAAGAGAACCGAAGGACAAATAAAAATATTAAAGAGCTCTTCAAAAATAAATATATGACAACTATAATAAGTTATTAAGTACAGAAAATCTTTTTAAAAAGATTAAATGAAAAAGACAAAAAGAAGGAAGGCAAGAAAGAAAATACCATACAATTAGAGGAGTTAAAGCAGGAAATCAGTGTCACATCAACAGGAGAACATGAACAAATAAAAGTGAAAATTTACCTAAGAAATAATATAAGAAAACTTCCCCAAACATATACCTCCAAATACAAAGGCTTATCAAATGTCTACCATAATGAATGGATGAATGGAAAATGGATGACTGGTGAACATATTATCATGAAATTTCAGAACACTAAAGATAATCATTAAAGTTTCCAGAAAGAACAAAATAAACAAAAAACACAATGAAACTGGAGAAAGAATGGCATCAGGCCTATAAAAAACAATACTTTCAAAACTGCATGGGAAAAATGATTTCTATGTACTTCAGCCAATCTATCATTTAAGTAAATATAAATAAAGTTTTAAATATGCAAGGAGTGAAAAAACATGCACTTCTTCTGAGGAAGTTGTTAGCATGTTTCATCAAAGTAAGAAGTAAACAAAAACAACAAAAAGGCACTCATAGTTCAGGAAATAGGACATCCAAAATAAGAAAGTGGAAAAGGAAAATCCTGATACAACAAACTATGCACCAGACTTGGAGAGTAAGTAGTTCACAATGAAGGAGATCTGAAGAGATATACAGACTCTCCAACAATTTCTTTTGATGTGTGTGAACATTTGGAAAAAATACTTCCAAACATTAGATAAATAAATCACATTAAAAAAAAAAACAGCCTTAAGCGTATAGAAAAACAAATGAGTAAAGATATATATTGTTTAACTCCATAAAAGTAAAATAAGATATAGTAAAGGGAAAGAAATCATAGTATTTTCCAGATCAGCACACATAAGGGTCTCAAAAACTGTGATGTAACTATGCTGAGATCAGTGGTATGCAAAGCCATACTGGAACCTGAGGTAAAAGGAAAAACACATATCCCTATATACATGTTTTTTTTTTATTGTGATAAAATACACATAAAACTTACCATCATAACCACTTCTAAGTGTACAGTTCAGTGGTACTAAATACATTTGCATTGTTTTACATCCATCAACACTACCCATGCCCATACCTTTTTTATCTTGTAAAACTAAAACTCCATACTTACTAAAACAACTCCACATTCTCCTCTTTCCTGCAGCCCGTAAGCACCACTACAGTCTGTCTTTATAATTCTGACTGCTCTAAGTACCTTATAAAGGGGAATCATATGGTATTTATCTTTTTGTGACTGATTTAGTTCATTTAACATATGCATTCAAGGCTCATCCATGCTGTAGAGCTGAATTTGTTTCCTTTACAGAGCTGAATAATATTCTGCTGTATGAATATATCACATTTTGCCTACCCATTTATCTATAGATGGATACTTGGTTTACTTCTGTTTTACCTATTGTGAATAAGTTGCTACGAAAATAGGTATACACCTAACTCCTTAGTCTCTTGTTTTCTATTGCGTATACTCAGAGGTGGAGCTGCTGGATCACATACATATATTTTTTCTTTTGAGGAACTGCCCTACTGGCTGTGTCATTTTACATTCTCAACAACAGCACAC